CTCTCCTTCATCTGGTCTCTACTCTTGTCCTCTTCCTATGACTGATGGAGGAGCTAGACTAATTGAAGTGAGCAGACATTATACACAAATGCACATTATACTTAATGCATTACATACACATTTACATGTACATGTACATGTACTTACTGATTCTCTGGTGCTACTTCTTGTTATTGATTGCTTTTCTATAGCAATGTATACATGTATGTGTATATGAATGTAATAGATTAATAATTACAGTAATAATAATGATGCTAGGAATAAGATGGAGAATCACGCTAGTAAGGCTGTGGGCCTTTGGTGAAGTGGGCCATTGCTCAGGTAAGAGGGAGAGAGAGAGAGGAGTGTTTCAGTTAAAGTCTGATTTTAATTGTGTATATGGAATTTTGTGATACATATACATGTTCTTGTGTTGTGTAGAAAGTTTGAGCTGATTCCGATTAAATTTGGATTTTTTATAAATTTTTAAAGTTGCTAAAAAATTGGGTCAAAGTCCCTGTACTATAGTACAGGGACGTTAGCTAAATTTCACCAAAATTAAAAAGTAGAGAATTCTCAGTTTTTGTAATATTTTCTGATACATATACACGTACTTGTCCTTATGTTGTGTATAAAGTTTGAGTTAATTTTTTCCTATTTTTTCCAAGAGCGTGGGAATATTTTCGGATTCTTTTTATTTAATTTTTGGAATTTTTTTGTATTTTTTTCTTATGAGTGTGGGAATATTTTTGGATTATTTTTATTTTATTTTTGGAATTTTTTCTGATTTTTTCTGAGAGCGTGGGAATATTTTTGATTTTTTTAATTTTATTTTTGGAGTTTTAAAAAATTTTTTTCAGGAGTGTGGGCATTTATTTGGATTTTCTTTATTTAATTTTTGAAATTTTTTCTGATTTTTTCTCTGAGCATGGAAATATTTTCAGAATAGTTTTATTATATTTTTCGAATTTTTTCTGATTTTTTTGTCAGCGTGGGAATATTTTTCCGATTATTTTATTTTTGTTTTTTGAAATTTTTTATGATTTTTTCAGAGAGCATGGGAATATTTATAGCTTTCTTAAATTTAATTTTTGGAATTTTTTTCGGATTGTATAATTATGAGTGTGGAAATATTTTCGGATAATTTTTATATTATTTTCGAATTTTTTTGATTTTTTTTGACAGCCTAAGAATATTTTCATATTTTCTTATTTAATTTTTGTAATTTTTGAATTTTTTTTTATTATGAGTGTTACATGTACATGTACATGTATAATATTTTTGGATTATTTTTTGTTTTATTTTTTGAATTTTTTCTGATTTGTTTACGAGATCATGGAAATATATTTGAATTATTTTATTTTTATTTTGGAATTTTTTCTGAATTTTTTCCAACAGCGGGGGAATATTTTTGGATTTTTTTAGAACTAAGAACCCTGTTACAAAACACTCATTATTTCATACTCAATCCCTCTAGGACGTTGAGAGCTACGACCCAATCCTGAACCTTGTCCTATCCTAGACGACAACAGGTATCCCCAATTCTAATTATACATGTAGTAACTTCTAATTATAGTAACAACACATCTAAATATAGTAACAACTATTACATGATGTGATCATTAATGTATTTCTTTTTAGAATCATCACTAATAATAGTAACAACA